TGGGTTTATCTACCACTAATCCGAATCAATTTTGATCTGATCGTGTTCGGAACAAAAATGGAATTGCTTTAGAAATAGAACGTCCGCGAGCGAAGACGATTTTTTTGCTGTTAATTTTATTCTAACAAAAAATGTCAATGGTTGGAAAACGTTAAAAATGACTAAGAGATTTTTGTTTTCCTCTTTCAAGGATTTGTATAAACGTGATATGAAGAGATGAAGCAAGATGAGGAAGGGCAGGCGAATTGAATTCGTGACTGAAAAATCGCCACGCTGTTAAACGACATTTTGCACTTTCGTGAAATCGACACACGAGTACAATGCAATAAATAATCGATTCATACACATATTTATACATGAAGTACGGGGAATAAAAAAACCTTCTATGCTTTTTTTCGGTAGCTGGCGATGCCATGTCACTCCTAAGTGCTTCTTAAGTAAGTTGAACCTGCGAAAAAATCGGAATGTTACAAATTCCCCCCCATACCCCCCTCAGCTGGACGCTTTACCCGATCGAGTTTTTTGATTTTGATCTGGTCTATTGTGGAACTCGATCGAATTCTGCCGACGGGTGGATGACATCTTGTCCGCGTACTCCAGTATCTTTGTATTTTCAAAGAATGCACAAGATTACCGACACACTGAACTCCGCAATAGATGATTTATTTTTTTCTCTGTAAAGTGTAATGATGTTGCCAGATCAAGAGGAGAATATCCTCTGCTTCTATGTAGTAGCAGGCAGAATCCTCCTTCGTAGATCTTACGACGCCTTCTGACTATTTTACGTCACAACGTCATTTCATTTTGTGTTTGGCAAAAGACAGCCGAAAGTCGGCCGCCAGCCCGGACACCCGGCTGGCTCGCATGGTCGCTCTGCTAAAAATGTAGATCCACTGCATTTTCAAAAAATGTCGGATTTTCAAACACTCTCTCTGCTCATCACAACCTCACAATCACAACCTACCGTACTACCTCCTCTCACAACATTATTATTTCATTTATTCCTTTTTACAATGCTTGCATAGACATCCACAATGGCGACTACTGGAACGAAAGTGATGGCACCAGAAGATGGAGATACACGCAGAGATCCACAATGGCGACGAGAGAAACGACAGAGATGGTGAAACGACAGTGGAGATGGAAGCAGATAGGACGGAAACACAGATGAGAGACATCTACAATGACAACTACAGAAATGGAAGCACTTCATCCAGTACTCCATCATCTGCACGGCAAGAATTGCGAAGAGTCATCTGGACGACATGAGTTGCGATTGACGACCGACAAATTCAACTAGCACAGTCTCTTTCTACATTCTATGGCTGTTATTGTCAACAGAATCATACCCAACACATTGGTGATTTTTTGTCCACAATCAAGATGATCAACGATACTATCCCAACAGAACTTATTCGATACGTTGACTTACTACAGTGCCACATTGTATCAGGATCAAGGATCGGAAGCTGGTGAAAATGTCCTGTCACATCGTAGCATTATCCATCAACCATCAACCCGTCTGATGTGTTGACAAACCACTAGCTAGGTCGGGCTCTTCATCATCTTCCATCAGTACTCTTAGCCATAACATCTTTACTTTCAGCTTTTGTTTCATGCTTAAAACTGGAGTCACATACTTACTGTTAGTAGAGCTCACAAGAAAAGGCAATCAATTCTAAGATGGAGGACATTTTTGCACGTAGGATCCTGTACAATTCCTACGGAGCAGTGTTCATGTGAAGTCTCACTATCAGTAAAGATTCAATCACAACAAGACGTACATAGGTACACAGCACCGGTAGCACGTACCACAGTACCGAGAAATACAATGCAAATTTGAATTTCTAGCGCATGATCAAGCGGCATTTTTTGGACGCACTGAATGAGGCAGTGCTGGCTCGCAGAGGCAGTGCCGGCGACAAACTTTCGGCTGTCATCTATGGCGCTGATCCAATTCGTCAAGTATAGAGTTTTCCAGCTGGTGGAGCTACATAGAGAGATCAGATACTAGCTACTAGAGATACTACAACTTATTCTGGAGCAGCGGCTCCCAAAGCAAAGGGGATAGGAAATTCGAGAGATGATGGTCTACCAGATTCTAGTGTCTATTCTACTGTGGTCCTCATATGAGGACTATTCCTCATATGAGTCCTATTTTGACCCCCCATTACTTTTTCATTACTGTATATAAACATATATTTCTGATGACACCATCCGATTCAGCGATGTCTAAAACCTCACCGTACAGGAGGTCATGCTTTAATCTCCGACCGTTCCAGCGCCACAGATGCCTAAGTACCGCTCCGACCGCGATTTTTGCGCGTCTGAAACCGCAACAAAATCCGTCCTCTGTCGATCATTCGACTAAGCCGTTTGTATTCTGGTTGCAGTCGTTTTGATTTCTTTTTGTTGCGTTTGCTTCTTTGTTTATCATGCCAACTGTTGGTGATGGTGAAAGTCGGATTGTTGGGGGTCGTGTCAACGCAGAAGCTGTGCATGTCACAAGCGACGGCGAAGCTGCGCGTCGAAATGGTCAGCTCTCCAAGATCAAAATGGCGTTTAGACACGTTTATCGGACGACACATACATTTCTGATAACACCATCAGAATCAGCGAAATCTAAAACATCTTAGTACAAGAGATCGGGCTTCGATATACTGCCGTTCCAACGTCACGGATGCCGAAGTGCCGCTCCATCAGCCATTTTTGCGCGTCCGAAACAACAACAAAATTCATCTCTTGATTTTATTCGACAAACGCTTCTGTATTCAGATTACAGTCGTTTTGATTTGTTTTTTTGCATTTGCTTCTTTGTTTATCATGCCAACTGTTAGTGAAGGCGGATTGTTGGGGGTCGTGTCAAGGCAAAAGCTGTGCATGTCACATACGAGGGCGACTCTGCGCATCGGTCAGGTCTCCAAGTCCAAAATGGGATTTGGGACAGGTTTATCGGTCGACGCCATGGTAAATGCTACTACCGATTGTTCCGCTACGACTGTTTTTGCAGAATATGACTTTGGTGGAGGCTTAACCAAGAGAAAGTGTCTCAATATTCGAAGTCTTCACGCCGTTTTGCCTGTGGAAGGAAATCAGTAAATCAGCAGTCTGCGCCCGCCAAATCTCATAACGCCAATCATCGAACACCAGACGAGCCTTCTGGAACAAACAACGATGACAATCCCACTGGAAACAGCAGTCATGGTGCTCAAGTCAATTTTGTCCGGTTGCTCCCATGTTGGACCCTCGTCCTGTTCGTCAAACTTGTCGTGGTACCGAGTGGTAAACGGTCCAGTCCCTCTTCGTTCATGGGCGGTGCGTTCTACCATTGCAGAAAAAACAATGGGACCTGGAGATAACATCCAGTATTGATGTCTCACCTTGATTGCTTTCTACTGATTTTCCCGACATTGCAGTTGAACTTGATGCATCAGTGGATGAACGGAAAACTTCAGAAGATCAGCAGCCTTCGGAGAGTGAATCATCAAGCCATGACAAAAGGTGACTATCTGGACAACGATGGCAGCCCAGAAATGATGGCTTTTATCTGAATGTACAGGGATCGCAGATATTTTATTACCAACCGTTCGTCGTTGGTTGAAGGGGATCCTCATTTGCGCATTCGTTGGCGACAATGCGGCGGTATGTTTGCCAAAGCTGAAAGACTGGAGTTGACGGTCCCTACCCCACAGGCATGCAACATTTACTATGATACCTGTGGTACAATCCACCAGAGTTATTGGCATTGTCAGGATAATTGACAGATTGAGAGAAAGATTGAGACAAGAATTAGGCGACCAGTGTTGGGACGAGTACTATCCGTATTTGAGGAATGTGTTTTGTTGATGCTTGGCTTGTCCATGAGGGAGGGACAAGAACATCGGAGACACATTCAGAATTCTACTCGTGTATGCAGAAGAGATGATTTAACAACTCTTGTAATAGAGGTCCAAGTCGGTGGTCGACCGGTTTGGTGACAGAATGGTGTGCTCCGCAGCACCTCTTTGAATCTCAAACAGGTACTGGTCGGTCGGGTATCGAAGCTAGTCTCACTACAACAAAACGCGAACGGAAGGTGAAGGGAGTCATTATGCAAAATGAGTTTCATCAAGGATAGTGTGTAGTGTGTGCTTGTAAGTTTAATTGGCAAAAAGAAAGGGCAACAAGGGCTCTTCCTGTGCCAGCCTATGCAAAAATGAGGCATTGGAGACCGGGGCTGCCGAGTCACAAGTGTGGCTTTTCCACTCAAAATATGGCCGGAACTGTGTTGCTGAGCATATGGCTGCGTGCCATTGCTCTTCATACTTATTAGCATCCACTAGTACATGTCTACAACTTTGAAGTCTTCTTATTGCTGCAGTAGTTAGCTTCAAAGGTAGCTCTGGTGGGTGAATTTTCATTCTTCATGTAGATTTTTTACTTAGAACGGTCCGTCCAACCGTCCGAAATGGCGGGACTCATTTGAGTAAAAAGTGGGACTCAGTTGAGTCCTGTTCCCAGTAGAATAGACACTAGATCTACCGACCGTTATCGCCCTTAACCCACTACCGTAGTACCGGTAGTCGTACACTTCGTATTTGTACTTGTGCCTGTATCACTACCATACCGTAGTACGGTACGGGTGTGAGTCGTATGATAGTTCCCGGTGAAAATGATGTCATGATTTTCAGGGAGAAGGCGAAGCGGAACCATGAATGTCATGTCTTTGTATGACGTTTCTTCGACCACGGAACAACTTTCGGAGCTCAACGTTAATAATATTATATAATAAAAACACGGAGTAATAATAGGTAAATTAATGATTGTAGACGTCGTACAAACGCTTCCATGTGCTTTGTGCACTCGCACGACGTGTACTGGAGTAACAGGACCCTTGTTTTCGCGCGACCTAGTTTTTGATGTGCGCGTAGAATATCAGTACCGTATTCATTCAAGGTATGTTCGGGATCATGATGCGGTTTTTGAGAAACGGGGAATCAACAAATCCCCCCCAGAAAATATGGGCGCTTTCGAAAGCGCCCATAAAAAATATGGGCGCTTTCGAAAGCGCCTATAAAAAATATGGGCGCTTTCGAAAGCGCCCATAAAAAATATGGGCGCTTTGGAAAGCGCCCATAAAACGAAAGCGCCCATAAATTCCTTGGTAGCGTCGTAGACGAGCAGCAATACGAAAATTCCATCAAATCGACAAGTAGCAAAGACCAGCAGTACGGTTGTTCTATCCTCCTCTTGTCGAAGCCACATTTCACCATGAGAAAAAGTGTAAACTAAGACCCGGTGTTGGCTGTAAAGCCACTATCCTCACTAAGTTCATCCACCCGAAGCAAAATAACATTGATGCCTCACATCGGTCCACCGTTGTGCTGCTGTCAAATGAAAAGAAAACTGTAAGCCGGAAAAGTCAAGACTGCTGCACTTTTCGTTTGATGATGGCAACAACAGCCACATTTTCTATGCTGTGAAGACTCATTTCAAAATCGTTGAAGAGGGCAGAAATGACGTTTTTTTATTCGGTATCAGCTTGAGAGATCCGTGTTGAGTGTTGAAGCACAGTCAAAAAAATTCAAAGAGCTGAAGATGAAGTGGCGAAAAAGCAAAGCCAAACAAATCCTCTACAACTCTCTTTTGGAGGGAATCATTCCAGTTGATGACAAGAATTTTCCAGCAGATGTCATTGGAAGATGTTTACTCTATTGATCCAGAGCTCGCATTGTACGATTATAGTATATTGAAGAATCGTTTGAACAGGCTTCGAAACAAGATTCTTGAATTGGATCGACGAGCAGACGATGATCTCATTGCTTTCAACAATTACAAAATGAATTACAAACCATCACTTTTCTCTCACAAGGGCTTTATCCAATGGCAAGGTTCCTCTGCACAGGAGCATCTTTTGGATGACTTGGAAGATTACGTCAAAGATCCGAGCACGAAGCCCATGGAGGTGTGGAAATCTCGACCAGAATACATGAATGAATTTCTTCTGGACGGTTTTCGAGATGTCGTCAATCCGTCTCTCGTCAACGATGAAAACGAGTTCCCTGGATTGTCCTTGACGGTAAGTGAAACCCATCCAAACGCTAGTGGACGCAGTTTGGAACATTTCGTCTGTTGGAAGATCGGTCGCTCCGATATTCGTATGGCCAAGAAAGGACCGGTGCAGCAGATGCGGAAAAACCAACTCGGCTTTCAGTTTGGATTCGCTGGTAACGAACCCTCAGAAGGGGGTGGTGCGGCTCCGGATATGTCTTGAAAGCAAAGGGAAAAAAGTAATTACGATGTAATCGAATTGTTGCAAAGGGCACATTTCGTTGCTGGGATGTCTGATATCGAGACTAAAAACTTAAAAATTTATACAAATGAAATAGGGAAAAGTTTCATTACCATCTAGTCATCACAAGAATAGTTGTCTGACAGTTGCCACAACTCTACCCTCATGATCTCATTATTATCGCAATCGATGCCTTCTTTGTTCGAATGATTGGATATAGTCCCACTTCATCATAGTCGATTACTAGGGGCACTATGTATTTGGCTTTACCTTTTGATTGAATCAAGCAAGAACGGCAGCAAGTGCGAGCGATATCATCGTCCATGTCAAACGGAGTCTGATGAAAAAACAAAAATATTATTTTGCTTCGTGTGGATGAACTTAGTGAGGATAGTGGCTTTACAGCCAACACCGGGTCTTAGTTTACACTTTTTCTCATGGTGAAATGTGGCTTCGACAAGAGGAGGATAGAACAACCGTACTGCTGGTCTTTGCTACTTGTCGATTTGATGGAATTTTCGTATTGCTGCTCGTCTACGACGCTACCAAGGAATTTATGGGCGCTTTCGTTTTATGGGCGCTTTCCAAAGCGCCCATATTTTTTATGGGCGCTTTCGAAAGCGCCCATATTTTCTGGGGGGGATTTGTTGATTCCCCGTTTCTCAAAAACCGCATCATGATCCCGAACATACCTTGAATGAATACGGTACTGACATTCTACGCGCACATCAAAAACTAGGTCGCGCGAAAACAAGGGTCCAGACAACTAGAAAAAGATAGGTACTACCGTTGTAGCTACCGGTTACCGTACTACTTTCTGGCAGTCATACTTTGCACAATGACAGGTGACAGCAGCGAATCTTCATCCACAGTATGGCATTCCATGATGAAAAAATCAGGAATTTGAGCGAAGGACTCAACCTAAGTTAGCACGCTCTGCTAAAGTAGTCATAATCAAGAAACGCATCAAACAGGCGGTCCTTTCTCATGACGAGACTTCACCCACGACAAGGTTGATACTAAAAGGAAGTGATCTCGGGTAGTCTTCCTAGTTGAAAACTGCAGCATCGACGCTACTGCTGCTCATTGTTAAGCACGCATCATGTCGCATCCAAGACCAAAACTGCAGCATCTGCTGCTCACTGTTACGCAAGCATCTCGTCGCTTCCTCTCCATTTGTGCTCAGGGCTATTATTGCTCCACTTGCAATCACTTTACTTCTTTGTGGCATTCGTATGCTTCTTTGTGGGCTTATCAATCTCCACGGCATTGCCATCCAAAGAAATCACGTCGACCAATTTCTTGTTGAGCAGATCACGTCGCTCTCTAGAGGTTGTACGTTGTAAAGGAGTTTTCGGGCTCATGTAGTAGCCCTTGAGCTTGCCTTTGCTAGTGGAGTTGATGATCCACTTGGAAGAATCTTTCATTGTCTTGACGGGGGACAGTGGAAGCTCTCCTACTACAACGACATCTTCCTCGATCTTTTCCTCCACCAGGGTCATGTCCTCTGCTTCTTTAGATGAGGCGAAAGTATTCTCTTCCTCAAAGCTCAAAGTTTGGTCAGCGTCTTCCTCGGTAGGTGCCTTAACCCTCTTGGTGCGGATTTCATTCAAGTCTGGCATTCCTTTGAACCATGGATCAAGGAGCAATTCCATAGGAGAGTCGTACCCAAGTCGCTTCTTTGGGTTCTTTTGTAACAGCTTGTCAATAATGTTCAACACTTGGTTGCTCGCTGCTTTGTCATCCCGCATCGCATAGGGTGCTTCAGATACAATAGTTTCGTACAGCTCTACTTGGCACATGTCATCGCAGAAAAAAGGATTTTCCCCTGATATCATTTCATAGATGACAACGCCAAGTGCCCAGTGATCCACTCCAACACTCTGTCCAGTATTTTGAATGATCTCTGGAGCAACATAGTTCGGTGTTCCGCAGAAAGTGAATGTTAAGCTTCCCTTTGGCACTTTCTTTGCGAAACCAAAATCAATCAGTATCGGGTAACCATCCTTATCAATCATGATGTTTTCTGGCTTCAAATCACGGAACAACAGCTCGCGAGAATGAAGAAACGCCAAGGTATCGGCAAGGACATAGGAGATGAATCTTGCTCGACGCTCGGATATGCCAGATGTCCATTTGCCATGCTCATCCTCCACATGAATTTGGTCCCAGAGTTCACCGCCCGGAATCAAGCCAAGCAGCATGTCGATGGACTCTTCACTTTCGTATACATTCACAAGATTGACAATAAAGGGATGATGAATCTGTTTCAAGACATTGATTTCTTGATAAATCTCTGCCACTGCATCATCTCGAATCTCTTCGTCGTTCTTGTTTTGAATCTTGAGAGCAAACTCTTGTCTGCTTGGGTCAATATTGGGCAAGATTGCGGCCACCAACCACACCTCACCAAATTGTCCCTCACCAAGGACTGAGATGAACTCCAAGTCATCCCAGTTTTTAGCATGCTTTTTGATAGACCGTCGGATCTCCACCTGACGCTTGAATTCCATTGAGTGTTTCTCCAAGGACTTCGGGTCGAATAATTCTGGACCCTTTGGTTTCTTCTCTTTCTTTGTTTTTTGTTTCATGGGCTTTTGTATTTTTTTTATTGGCTTGTGGGTATCTTTCTTGTGTACCTTACGAGCCTGCTGTTGCGTTGATGCCTCCGCTTGTTCTTTTTTGCCACGCTGTGACTCCTCTTCCCATTCTTCAGCGATCGTTTTCTCCATGATGGATCGGAAATCGTACTGATTCAATCGAAGCAATATAGACGATTCCATTGCTTTGACTGTTGTTTCGTTGGGAACTCGCAAAAGCAATCGTTCCTCTCCGAAAGACTCCCCCGCCTTGGCAGTTTTGACTCGTTGATTGTCCAGGAGAAACTCCACCTTTCCTTCTTGAAGCACATAAAAGTTGTCTTCCTGTTCAGAGCTGTCGCCTTGCTTAGCCAAAATACCTCCTTTGGGCACTGTTACTGTTTCCATCGCATCCACCAAAGCCTCCTCTGTTTTTTTATGGGTATTCTTCAATAGAAAATTGTCATTGATAGCCTTGTGGAGTAAAGATCGTTGCCACGAAGTTTTGGGATTAACCGGAGGTTGGAATGCCTCTGCACTGACTTTCAACTTCGGTGCGCAGACTTTCTTTAGTTTGAAGGCATATTTATTGATGGGAGATTTGTCGACAAAGATGGATTTGACGGCATTGGTCATGCGCAAATGCACTGGCTTGACCGCATTGGTGCGTCGATGCTCGGAAGCATCGAGTAATGCTTTCATGTTAGGTCCGACCCGGTTGTGCTTTGGTAGTCGCGGTACAGTTTTTGGAGGAGTTCGCCGAGAGAGCAACAAATTTTGCTCGTCTCGCATATTTCCCAAAATACGTTCCTCCATGCTCTTCCGTCTTTGGTCGGACAGAGTGGGGCTCACAAATAGAAATGCTGGCTCTTTCTCGGAACGAAAGAGATTTGCCCATGATGATCTTCGAGCCGACTCAGCAGTATGAGTGCTGAACTTCCCTTCGCTGAAAGAAATGTCAAACTTGGGATCAAAAGCACGTGCTCGTTCTACGAGATTTGATCGGCCGATGGAGGATCGTGTAGGGTTTTCATTCCGAACGGCTCCGGCGACATACTTGATCCCATCATCGCCAACAGACCGTTCGCTTCCACTACTGTCGTTCTTTTTCTTCATGATGAAAGGACAAAATCAAAATCTCGGCTGGGGTCTTACGAATGGTGGAGTTGGCGGTAGGTGTATTGCTAGGATGGATATGCTGCAATCATTGCTGGAAAGATTCCTGATGAATTGACTGTGAGAGAATGGTTCGATATCTTGGTGTCCGAAA